TCCTGAAGCCCCTCCTTTGAGATCTTGGCCCCTCCAGGACATTCAGAGTGGTTCTGAAGCCCCTCCTTTGAGATCTTGGCCATGTGCTTTGTGTTGCTGTCCTGCTGAAAAATGAACCAGTCTGAGGTCATGAAAGCTCTGGAGCAGGTTTTCATCCAGGATGTCTCTGTACATTGCTGCAGTCATCTTTCCCTCTATCCTAACTAGTCTGCCAGTGCCTGCTGCTGAAAAACATCCCCATAGCATGATGCTGCCACCACCATGCTTCGCTGTAGGGATGGTACTGTTCTGGTGATGAGCGGTGCCTGGTTTCCTCCAAACATGACGTCTGGTATTCACACCACAGAGTTCAATCTTTGTCTCGTCAGACCAAAGAATTTTGTTTCTCGTGGTCTGAGAGTCCTTCAGGCAGGTTCCTTTTGTCAAACTCCAGATGTGCTGCCATGTGATTTTTATTAAGAAATGCCTTTCATCTGGACACTCTGCCATACAGCCTGACTGGTGGATTTCTGCAGAGATGGTTGTCCTTCTGGAAGGTTCTCCTCTCTCCACAGAGGAACGCTGGAGCTCTGACAGAGTAACTATCAGGTTCTTGGTCACCTCCCTGACTAAGACCCTTCTCCCTCAGTCGCTCAGTTGAGACGGCCGGCCAGCTCTAGAAGAGTCCTGGTGGTTCCAAACTTCTTCCATGATGGAGGCCACTGTGCTCACTGGGACCTTGAGAGCAGAAGAAATGTTTCTGTATCCTTCCCCAGATCTGTGCCTCAACACAATCCTGACTCGGAGGTCTACAGACACTTCCTTTGACTTCATGCTTGGTGTTTGTGCTCTGACGTGCACTGTCAGCTGTGGGACCTTCTATAGACAGGTGTGTCTTTCCAAATCAAGTCCAGTCAACTGAATTTACCACAGGTGGACTCCATTTAAGTTCTAGAAACATCTCATGGATGATCACTGGAAGCAGTTTGCATCTGAGATCAATATGAGCTTCATGGCAAAGGCTGTGAATACTTGCGTAAATGTGACTTCTTAGTTTTCTATTTTTAATAAATCTGCAAAAATCTCAAAACATCTTTTCACGTAATCATAATGGGGTATTCCAACATTTTTCCGTCAGGTCATCTGGACAGTTTCTTTTTTTTTTTGTGCTGAAACATTTTGCCTTCGATCCAGAAGGCTTCATCAGTCAAGGAAACACAACAAAACTGATTCCTCCCCCAACAGCTTACTCCAAAGTGGAACAAACCAGTTCTGCTTGTGATAAGATGGTCTCTTTGGTACGCCCCCTCCTCCATTGCCGGCCCTCTTCCTTGTTGACAGTCTTGTCAAACTGGTTGAAAACAACATAATGGAGTATTGTGTGTAGAATTTTCAGGAAAGAGATTAATACAATCTGGAATAAGGCTGTAACATAAAATGTGAAAAAAAGTGAAGTGCTGTGAATATTTTCTGGATGCACTGTATGTTAGACTGGTACAGGACATGTGAGGACCTCAGGACAGTGGTGAGATGTGCTGTAGGAGTGACAGATAGCTTCAAGGTGGAGATGGGATTAAATCAAGGATCGGCTCTGAGCCCCTTCTTGTTTGCTGTGATGGACCGACTAACAGATGAGGTCAGGCAGGAATCCCCGTGGACTATGATGTTTACAGATGACACTGGACATACAGTTGGAAAGAAATTTAGAGATGTTTAAGTACTACACACTTGGAAAAAGAGGAACAAAAGTCAGCCATAGTAAGACAGAGGATGAATTGGAGGGAGGCAGGTGGAACAGTGAGGCTACAAGGAGCAGAGGTCACAAAGGTGCAGGACTTCAAGTACTTTGGGTCCACTGTCCCAGAAAACAGAGAATGTGGTAAAGAGGTGAAAAAGAGAGTCCATGCAGGATGGACTGGATGGAGAAAAGTTTCAGGAGTGATTTGCAAAAAATGGTGTCAGCAAAGGTCAAAGAAAAAGTTTACAAGCGAGTGGTGATACCGGGTATTTTGTATGGTCTAGAGACAGTGGCATGGACAAAAAGACAGGAGAAAGAACTGGAAGTGGCAGAAATGGAGATGTTGAGCTTCTCCTTAGGAGTGACAAGGATGGGTAAGATTAGAATGAGATCATCAGAGGTACAGCACAGGTTGAACAACTGGGAGATAAAGTTAGAGAGACCGGACTGAGATGGTTTGGACATGACCAGAGGAGGGACAGTGGTTTGGACATGTCCAGAGGAGGGACAGTGGGTATATTGGTAGAAGGATGTTAGAAATGCAGCTGCCAGGAACAAGACAGGAGATGTATGGATGCAGGTAGAGAGGACATGGAGGTAGCTGGAGTGAGGACAGAGGACAGAGTGAAATGGAGGATGACTCGCTGTGGAGACCCCTGAAGAGGGAACAGCTGGAAAAGAATGAAAGAAGCTGCCTACAGACCTTAGAGGCTAAAGCCATAGAAATGTTTGCTTTTCGGATAATGGGGAAGTTTGAAAGTTTTATTTATGTTGAACATATGACTAGAATTTGCTGGATATTAAGCCTGGACTATCAAGAGATTAAAGTGTGCTTTTGTGTAGTTTGAACAGGAAAACAAGCGGTTGGTCAGTGAAATGAACAGCCTGGTGGATGAAGTGAGGTAAGATCTTCTACTCTTCATAGGAGTTCAATGACTAAGTGTTGTGAATGTTAAAATAAAGACATCTTTGGAGAAACATTTAATTTTTACACTTACCAGGCAAATCGAAGGGAAAGTGGTGGAGATTTCACGGCTTCAGGAGATCTTTGCTGAGAAAGTCTTACAACAAGTGAGTTCCACTCTTTCCGTTTCTGCCATCCTGTCCCTTTAACAGTTTCGAGACTGAAGCGTTTGGACATAAACTTGTTCATTCCACTTCCTGTGACAGGAAAGCGAGATTGATAATATTCACGAGCTGGTTGTGGGTGCAACGGAGAATGTCAAGGATGGCAATGAGGATATACGAGAGGTATGACATACAGGATAAACTATCTGCATTTGGTTTAGGTTGATTAGAAAGGAAATCTAACTTTTGATGTTTGTGTCTTACAAGGCCATCAAAAACAATGCAGGCTTCAGAGTATGGATCCTCTTCTTCCTCGTCATGTGCTCTTTCTCGCTCCTCTTTCTGGATTGGTATGACAGCTAACACAACTCACAAAGACCTGAACAAAAGGAAACTGAAACTGGGACGTATCGTCTCTAAAAGACACGATGACAACACTGCTACAGTCTCTGGACGCCTTGTTCTGTGTGAATATTGTCTTCAAATGGAAACTACATTTTGTTCGTCCCTGCACTGATCTGTTATTCTTCAGCGTTTTCAGAGGAGCTTTCATCCAAGTGTGCTTCTGTAGACAAGCGTTATATGAAGCCCTGTATCCAGTTTTGCCATTTATTCTGTGAATGGACTTTTCTACCACTAGGAGAGTGACTGCATCCATTTGCAAAGTAAAGAGAGAAAAAGAGCAAAATTAGTTTTAAAAACCCATTGTCAAACAAATCTCACCGTACCGCCAGATTCTTGGGTCATACTGCACAATAAAATGTAGTTTTCCTAAATTGAAATCTCAAAACAGAACTGTGCTTACACACAATTGTTTTTAATTTAGAATTGTATTTCATATTAAAAGTGGCTGTGTCTTACATATGCAGTCACAGGGAGATCTGCATGTCATTGAAGAGAATTGGCTGTTAACTTTTTGATGCTAAACTGGTAATTATTTTTAATTCTGGTGATATTTTAGAGTATTTTTGTGATAAAACTCAAACTCGACCTGTTAACTGTATTTATTTTAGCAACACAAATCTTCACACTTAACTAGCATTGACCCATATTGTCCACTACATTGCTTGCGAAAGTGTTAAACCTCAATTTGTTAGGGTTTAGGTTGTGTATGAATCTCAGCTACCACCAAATCAAGCTTGAGCTCAATGTGTTTGCTAAACTTAAAAGCTGTGGCAGCCATCTTGAAGCAAGGTGACACCAAATGTTAATTACTTGTACATTTCCATCTAATTCGTACTCAAGTTTAAGGTCATTTTCACACCGGATAGTCTGGTAGACCCGGTTCGATTGGAAACCAAAATTCAGAACATTTGTTTACATTTCAGCTGGTGCGGTTCACATTCACACTGCACTGAGTCAATGAGCCAACCTGCACCCTAACATCCATCTATTGGTTCATGAGATATTTTGCTGACAAGACACCGTTCCTGGCAATGGACAATATAAAATAAAAAATAGATTTTGGCAACAATTTGGAATGTGAGCTCTTTATTTCAGTTTGACATTTTATTTAGCAAACGCACTTTAATGGTAATCATTACATTGAAAAATGAACATACACTGGACCAGTTTAGGTTAAGTGACAAATACATGGAGGGAAATAAAACAGGGCAAGCAACTAGTCGATTGTTGCACTACGGACTAAAATAAGCAACGACTGCTACCAGCCATCTGTGGTGACAAATCAGTGCACTACAGTGTATTCACTAGCCAAAACATTCATTACAGCAGCATTAAGTTATACCATGAAAAATAAGCATTTGTCCATAATTAATGGAAACAATCAATAAGTGCATATGAGCTGACTTTACACAGTTCAAAAATATTTTTACACGCTGGTACAATTCCTCCAGGTCAAGTCTCAATGTCAACATTAGAATGTCTTACATGAACTAGGGAGGCAAATACTAATTTTGTTGCTCCAAGTGAAAATTTACTAATCAAAAAAAAGGTCTTGACATGCTTTAATCAGACCTCATGAAATCTAAAATCGGAGCAAACCCCCTATCAGCGTCACGCGTGCATGTGTGGTAAAACAAGCAACGCAGACGCGGTGAGTCGTTTCACTAAAGTGAGCTTGTTCATGTGTGTGTATGTACAAAGACTGTGATTCTGTGGCTTTTTCTACACATTTGCCACTTGATTTTGTCGCGTAAATAAATAGGTTCGAACAACTCGTGATTCCACCAAACTGAGCCTCGCTGAGAACACGTTCAAAGTATTCACAGATTTCCAGCTACTGTACACATCAGCTGACCAAACTACATCAACAGGGCAGCATAGCACCTCAGGCAAGAGAAGTTGACTTTTGTTACGGGTTTTTTTGTTTGCTTTTGTTTTTTCTCACCCACAAAAAAGCGACGGGACTCGACGTTTGCCTGAATGGCACAACCATATTATTAATTATTCTTCCACAGCTTTGGAGGCCATTTCCTGATCCCAGGTAGGTTAGGCCAGTTTCTGGGCCGTCTCCGTCTCTTGCTGGGTTACCTTCTCCTCAGACATGATGGTCACCCATGGCGATACCGACCGAGTGATTGTCTGCTTGGCGATGTTGTAGTGGTTGATGAAAGTAAAGAGACGCCCACGGCCCCCGGGGCCCTGAGGGGGGTAGTTTCCATACAACCCAGCAGGCATGCAGCGTCCCTGCTGCTCCACAAAAAGAGGATAACACAAAACGATTAACATTTCTGCACAAGGCGAGTGAAATGACAAACAAAGAGTAAACAGGATTCTGGAAAAAGGATCGAGACAAACTGATTCAGAGTTAATTCCAGTGGTGTCAACACATTAATGACAAATATATGACGTGTTTACCATGTAAACAAAGCTGTCAGGACATGGCTGCTCATACTGGTAGATCTTGTAGACCACCAGAAACACCACACAGACCAGGAAAGCCAGGGCACAGATCACCAGCAAGGTCACCTAAAGACGACAGTAACTTCATGAGCACAAGACTCAACTTCTGGGTCAGTTAAATCTCAAATCATCTCCGGACGGAAGAGAGAGCAGAACCTTACAGACTCCGGCACACAAAATGCCTTCTACTGTGACTAGGGTTAGTAAGAGGTTCTTTATAGTCTGTCGACTCATCGAGCCTTCATGGGTTCATCACACAAACATTAAAATTACCATTAAACAGAGACAATACAAAAGGTTCAGTGTCTGGCCCAAAAGCAAGTTCATCACTTGAATGGGACGCTGCAGGTAATTAAGTCTTGACAGCGTGCACTCAAGACATAATTACCTGCAGCGTCCCCTCAGTGCAGACCAAATTTAACAAAATGCTGCTCCTATTTGTATCTGTATTTCTATTTTATGTTTTCCTGTCTGCTGTGCATGTTTGGTTCTTTTGTACAGCACTTTGGTTGGCCTTGTTGCTGTTTTAAGTGCTCTATAAATAAATTGGTATGGTATGGTAAAATGGCCTTCTCTAACTCTGCTCCTGGAACGCCTTACAAAAAGATCTGATGATGTTGACTTTGACCTCTCTAAAAAGGGATTTTAAACCAGCTGCTAAGTTCATTGCAAAAATCAATGCAACATTCCTGTTTTTAGTATTCTACATTGTTTTATAAATGTAGCTTGTTTGTTTAATTTTATAATCACATTTTTTTTGCTTTTCATTTTATACGATTATTGTTGTGTGTGCCTCATTTTTGTTTAAATCAGGTCTCTCTTGTAAAAAGGAGTCCTCGTGACTCAATGAGGCTAACCTGTATGAATAAAGGTTGAAAGAAATGGATGATTGAAGATTTAGTTTAATAATTTAGTTATTCCGATTATAATTTGCACATATTTTACCTTAAACATTTCAATCAACAAATCCTAGAGATTGTTTGTTTCAATTGGTGACACATGTTCTCATGACTAACTAAAACACCTTTACTATTAAAGAACAGTCTTCCTTCTTGAATCCAGAGGTGTAAAACGAAGCGTTTGAACTGATGTTACGTTTTTTTAAAGCTCCATGAGCAGCTTGAACGCCTTTTCATTCCTCTTGCAGCCGTTTAGTTTCTTGTGATAAAGATTAAATGTGGGGTGTTGTGCTTAAAGTGCAAACATCAATAGGAGAGTGAACTAACGCACATAAAGCTGAGACAGTAAGAGCCAATCGGAGCTTCTAAATCTTGCGCCAACTTGATCACTGAATGTCTTGTGTGACCATCTGTAAGGCTGAACTCAGCTCTCAGGAGAGTTGCACAACAGCTGCTGGCGTTTCTAAGTAACAGGTGACGGAACCGTCTCATTACATCCAACATTTAAACTATACCATTTGTCGTGTAGATACCAAATACATTATTGCCGGTAAATTATTTCCTTCAACTGAAGATATGCGACAAATCAGGAGATGCTTCAAGCCTGAGTCCAGGTTTTCTAAGTGCTGATGATGCGACTGAATCCTGGAGCGTTTACACAGCGCTAAATGAACAAAACAGGAGCTTTAAAAAAAATAAAAAAATAAATAAAAGAGAGCATCTGCAATGAAATGTCTGCCTGCAGAATTTCAAAGCACAAATGCTCTGTTCTTTCAGGCAGCGACGCGTCTCTCTGCCTTTCAGATGTCGCAGAAATAAAGCTGCAGAACAGAAGCGCGACGCTCCTCAAAGATACATCTGTTGATTACGACTACAAAAAGGAAGAGCCGTGAACTCTGCATGCAAAACCCAAATTCATGGGGCTGTACTCAAGGCGCTTCAAACTGCAACTTGTGATGCTTTCTTTGACAAAACCTCACATTTTTACAAGTGTGTGAACAGGAAGGGGAGGCGGGATAGAAGTGGAGGCCATCACCATGGCAGCAGCTGAACGGGTTTCAGGGCAGGGGTTAAGTGAATCATTACAGATGGACACGAAGGAGATCCGAGCGAAGAAACCTCGAGGATGAGGTAATATCAAAATGGACCAACAGATGTCCTGAGCTGCAGAGGGACAGCTCTAGACATCTGCAAGTGGGGGAGGGAGAGAAATGCTAAAGAAGCCGGCAGTCGCCTTACCTTGAGTCTCTCAGATACACCTTCAATGATGCTGATGGAGAACTCAGCAATTTTGGGGGATCGTAGCTTCCCCTTCTTGTTCTCGCCATCATAATCTGCCTTGGTCTTCACCACGACCTGGTGAGAAACATGCACGAATGAGAATGGACTGTAATTAAATTCATGCTTATGCTTTTATTCACTGAAAACAATAAAATTACAAGGACTGTACCTTGTCAGGTGGGGGGAACTGCAGCTGGCTGGCATCTAGAGGAGTTATGAGAGGGATGGTGTCAAACCCGTCCTCAGAAACCACCTTCCCGGCGGGTTTCTCCGTGAAATTATTCCCCAGTTTAACCATTTTCCCTGCGCGGAAAGCAAGCGCGCATTACTCATTCATAAAAAGGCAGAAAAACAGAACACATCTGGGGAAATATTCGTGATGAAATGTGGGTTTGAACAGGAGAAAAACGGGAACGAAATATATTAATATCAGGCGCTTTGTGGGCCACAAAGAAACCGGACAGGCTCGGACATAAAGGGACCCGTGCATCGATGTGATCATAAAAATATATAATTTATGATGTTTACACACTCACCAGCTCGGCCGAGACGCGTTGTGAAGCGGAGTCTTTCCCTCTTTATCCTCCCAGCTTTGCTGTGTGAGTTTAAGATGTGACGCAGACGATTTGGGAGACGCTGCTGTACAATATGGCCAGCTGGTAGAGCCCCGCCCCTCCTCCTCAGAGCCCCGCCCCTCCTCTCCTCCTCAGAGCTGGATGGTGATGATGCTGGTGGAAGGAGTCCTCACGCGCACACACGCGCGCTGCAATCAGCCAGCCAGCTGGAGTCCATCAGCACCAAAACACAATCAAAGCGAGGCTTTTCTTGTGTTTATTAAATATAAAAGCCAGATATTTTTTGTTTAAACAGCAATTCTATTTTTTTTTTATTATTATTATTATTATTATTTTTTTTTTAAACCATCAGTCTATTTATCAAACGGACTGAAACAGGATTAGGGGCAAGATGACTGACATTTGCACACAAATACTAAGAAAATAAGTCATAGAAATGGTTTTATGAAAATAGCAGTATAAAAATTATTTTAATGTTTAAAACATTTATAGGCTATCAAACTTTAGGCTAGAGAGTGGTGGAACAGCGGTTAAAAAAGGTGGGCCTGTGATTGAAAGGTCGCAGGTTCAATTTCTCAGACTGACATCAAAATGTGGTGGGAAAGGTGAAACACCCACACCTCCCTCCACCCTCATTTGCCCTACTCTGGGCCCTTGAGCAATGCCCTTGACCCCCACCATCTGCTCCTCCTGGCACCCTATGGCAACCCTCTAGTCCAGACGAGGGCTGTGGCAGCTCGATGGTCTGGTCATCTAAGGAAGGAGATGGGGCATAAAACAATTGTGAAGTCTTCGTGCGAGTTAGTGGGGAGCCCTGAAGGAGGGAGAAGCCAAATAAACATTTTAAGCTATATGGCAGTGTGTGAATACAGAGAGGGGAACAAACTTGGATGCAGTGTTTTGCTATAGACAGCATCTCATATAGGTCTTGTATTAAATTTCTAGAAGTTTACTATGGAAACTCAAACATCGACAAGTCTTGCACCTCAGTGTAAAAGAAACAAGATCTTGCTCTTGCTAAAATCAAAAATCTGCTACATGCAGATTATATGGTTTGATAACTCTGCGGGAAGCGACAGAACTTAAAAGATCTAGACTGTTAGTGCAGACTCTGGTATCAAAAGTAGAACATGGCTGCTTCAGTAACCTGGTTCCTGCTGAAGGTGGTAATGGTCTAAAATTAGCGTAGCAATACGTCTGGCATCTTACTGGATTGCAAGTGTTGGCGACAAATACATAGTTCCCATTAGACCGTACCGGAAACTAGTCCTACCAGAAAACCACCACGCTAGGAGGATACCTGTAACCAGCATTACCTGTGCGCAGCAATACAAGAGTAAGGCTTTTATTTCTCCCCTAAATGTTCATCAGATGTGACTTCTTCCAATGCTAAAAGACCTTTAGATACAGTGTTGTGGAAAGAGTATGAAAATATTAAAAACGCTGTTAGTGTGATCGATCTAAAGGCGGACAAAGTCAAAGTTTGTAGTTGGACTCGCTTACTTCAACAATGAATTATTTAATTCACAAGAAAAGTGCAAAACAGCAGGAATGGTGTGCAGTCATGTCTTTGAACATGTTTAACCAAAGCAGTAGGGGTTGGATGAAAGCTGTAAAAACCAACAATGTTGACCACAGACAGGGGTAAGTAAACCGTTTGTTCTTCGTACACAACTGGAACAGAAATGTGTATTTAAATGTATTTATTTGGGCTTTTGTTCTCTCTAAATTTTTTCCACATTACAACCAAAATTATAGACTCTTTAAGATCCTGATGAAAACATGATTCATGAGCACAAATAATCGTGTTCGCAACCATATCAGTAGAAAATTGACAGGATTGAGGATTTGTCAGATTTAAAGAAAAAACAAATTACCACTAATAAAGCATTGGGAGTACATTCTTGCAGTTTTAGATAGTTTGTCTATCCTGCCACACTTGTTGGCACTTCATACAGAGTTGCAAATTTTATTCATCTCCATGCTTTGACATGAATCAGGTTTTAGATTCAGGAAATGCACCAAGATGCAGGAATGGTTTAAAGGATTTGTTAAGGCAGGATCTCTGGTGGAGGTCTGGGTCACTCAGATCTGCAGAGACAGAATGTTTATGACTGTTTTGACTGAAGGTTCTTAAGAGAATAAAGGCAGTCCCTAACCTTCAGTCAGATAGAAAGCTGAATCCGTGGGACAGGTGGATCCGATGACATCAGCTGATTGAACTGCAGCAAGAGAACTGTGCAGCGTGAGGCATTGGGGCAAGTCCAGAATCGAGGTCCAGTAGAACAGTCAGAGATCATACACAAGTGGTCAGAGATCCTTATAAGTGCAAAGCAAGAGGCATAGTTGAGGAGGAAGAGCAAAATCGCCATCATGGTCAGAGAGAGATCCAAATCAGGCGAAGGATAAGCAAGGCAAGGAAACCGATAAGCAAGGAAGGAAAGGAAAGGAAAGGAAAGGAAAGGAAAGGAAAGGAAACCAAGAGGCAGGCAAGAGGTCAGCACCAGGTAGTCAAACAAGGCAGTAGCATGATTGCTTCCATCTACTGCTTGGAAAAGTCTGATAATCTGGCACTGGTGGATTGTAGACATGGAGCTTATAAAGGCAGGTGAACAGGTGAAGCTGATGAGCGCTGATTGCTGTGGAGAAAACAAGGGAGGCGTGGCTTGAGCTGAAGGATGGATGATAGGCAAACAGAACAGGGAAAGAGAGAACTAAGGCAGGAAGGGGCAGAAACGTGACATTCTCAGTTTCAGGATATGATGAAAACGTCCATTTACTGATTTAGTGTATCTGTTTTAGCTACCCGGTAGTTACCATCAGTTAAAGTTTAGTGAGAGACGGGGTTAACATTACAGCTTCAGTTTTTGTGTGGTGACACCACATTATTTTGATATGTTTGAGTAATTGTTTATATTGTACCCACAAAGAATGGGAATTCCAATTCATTATGGGATTCTGATTATTTGGCTCCGCTTAGCTTACCAAGAAGATGAACAAGAGAGCTCTTAATACGATGGGAAAAAACCTCCAGATCCCAGAAAGAGCCCCATTTTCCATCACCAGTAGTTATATTATAAGCACAAGTGAAACTATGGAAGAGTCCAGATGAAATCATTCTATCAATCTAATTAAGACTGACTGGGTTAAAAGATAGCCAGGTGTGCTTAATTTGTGTGTGTGTGTGAACAATACACCATCATCCATCATCTTTTACCTGCTTCTTCCTTTTCAGATCACTGGGGTCACTGGTGTCCATATCCAGCCGTCACTGTGTGAGAGGCGGAGAACACCCTGGACTGGTTTCCAGTCCATCACAGGGACACATAGAGACAAATATCCATTCACTCTCTCACTAGGGACAATTTAAAGTTACCAATCAGCCATGTTTTTGGGCTGTGGGAGGAAACCGGAGTACCTGGAGAAAACTCACACATGCACGGAGAGAACATGCAAACTCCACCCAGAATAGCCCCCCGGCTGATTCAAACCCCGGTGACTTTCTCGTTGAGAGGCAGCAGCTCTACCAACTGCGTCACCATGCCACCCAACAATAATGCCCTCCATAGAAACACATGCTTTGTCTCAACTTGACTTCACATTTAAGAGAAATGCTACAAGAATATTGGACCTGAAAGAACATTTTTTCCTTATTATCAAGAACTTCCAGCTGAGGAGTACATTTACAGAGACAAAGACTTTAAGGCATTCTACAAGTTCCAGGACCATTTCCTCCTAAGACACTCTACAAAAACATGTTACCATTAGTGTACAGCTTGGTCAACACTGACAAGTGGTTGTGAAATCGTTTGAGTTTGCTAACCCTAACACTAAAGTTGGGACAAGAAAAACGGTAAGCTTCTGTCCACAGGGCAGCTGTGGCTGAGTGGTTAGAGCAGTTGTCCTCCAATGCAAGAACTGAACCTGAGGAAAAGAACCAGTTAAAGTTATATCTAAAGAATTATTTTCCAGATTCAGACAGGTTTTGTGTCATGCCAACTGTGACACATCTGATATGATTCATAAAGGAGGGATTACTCATAATTATGTCTAAGACCACTGCCTAGGAAATTAGTATCAAAAGGTCCTACAAGAGCAACGTCTTCCAACAATCTGGGCACAACTTGGTGATCTGTGTATTTTCCAGCATGATGAAACACTGTATCTTGAAGCACTAAATGTTGTTCAAAGATTGTGCAGTTGATATTTTGGACTTGTTCCAAGCAAACTTTCCAGATATTAACCTCGATGAGAACCTGTAGTCAGTTCTGAAAAAGCAGCCAGCAGAAACCAACAAGCTGATCATCTCCATGCACCAATTGTACATGAGTGGATCGCCATTAGTCAGGGTTTGGACTAGAAGTTGAAATATAAATTGTTGAAATAAAGAAGGTATACATTGACTCTTTGCAAAAATGTCACGTTTTTACAAATAAAAATCTTTAAACCTTGTGAAATGCTCTATATTCTTTAAATCTTAAACTTCTGCTCATTGCTTTATTAGCTCTTTTTCACCATTACCCCTTTAGCTGCCAGACCAGGCAGCTGCTCCTTTTTTATCAGCATTAAATGTGATGATATGTGAATGTTCACAGTCTGTTTTTGCTGCTGCTAAGTGTCCAGTAAAACAGTCATTGCAGGTTTGTAAGTGTTGTTTTCTGTCGATGTATTGACTTAATTATTTGTTTTATAGTGGCTCATATATTAGTATAACAACCTGCTATTAATTACTTTGTGACTCTTCGTAGAAGGAAAAAAATTGATCCATTAGGGAGAAGCACAGTCTTGTTACAGTTAAAGCATCTATAGCTGACAACCACCATGTCTGATTAGACTCCATCCTCTGTGTTTCCTCATGTAGCCAGAAGTGGTAAAACAAGCATGTCTGCAAATTATCCATACGCTTGTTGCCAGGTGACAGGGTGAATAAAACAAGATTAGGGGAGAGGATGAAGAGCTGATCAAATCAAGCCTGCTCTGAGCAAAAATGAATAGTTAACAGAAAACAGCAAAGAAAAAGTGTTGCAATAAAGTCATATTGAGATGATAACCAATGCATTATAGATTTATGGCTTTACCATCTGTTAAGATTTAC